TTTTCTTCAGAAAAAGGATTGACTGTGACTGACGTAGAATTAAGAAATAATGCAGGATTGGACCTTCAACAGGGTTGTTTCCAGCATCAGTACAAAACAGACTGAAAAAAAACTACAACGACTCGACTTTAAACCACTTAATAACAAGTGTCCACAAACTGCACTTATCTCCATCCAAGGACATCAAGGGCCCATTTCAGTAAGCAGGTTTTGTGCTAACTCAGAGTCAGTTAACCCTGACATGAGGGAAACTCTGGGTTATCGTTTTCAGATGGGGAGGTCACTCAAACCCGAGAAAGAGGGGTAACTCCAGCCTGTTTCAGAGGGTGAGGTTACTTTACCTCAGTAAAGTCAATTACTATGGTAACTGAGTCTGTGAACCTAACCTGGTCGGTAGCAGGTTTTCTTTAGGGAACCCCCGAGTTGCTCTCTGACTACGCCCTCTTTTAGAGCCAGAAATGCCGTTTCATTTCCTCACTCTTTCTTCGGTCCGTATCACGCCGTGTTTGTGAAGATTCACCGTTTGTTTGAATAAAAATCCAGTTTGTTTTAATATGATATGTTAGGGTGGCAATAGCCTACTACAGCGCATAAATGAACTTTTTTGTCAAACATGGCATGTATTTTAGTCGAGGAGCCTCGAGATGAAGGGGCTGCATTACTCCTCAGGGAATTAGAGCCTACATTTACTGTACGTTGGGAGATGTTCATTTAATTAGGGTTAATTAATCAACTAAACAGGATAAAAGGTGAGAGGACATTTAGCCTATGTGTGTGAATACAGCATTATGTTGGAGATAAAGATAATGCACATTCAAATAGACACTGAATGAAGTTCCCGTTGTTTAATATGTTAAAGATGATTAAAATACCACCATGAGCCTAGTTTGTTCTTATATTTCATTTTGAGCTTTTTAAAGTTGCTTTTCTTCTGCTGGATTTCATCTTAATGAAAATAAATTGTATAGGTTTAATACAATTCCACCAGTTTGGACCTGCAATATTATAATTCTGATTAAATATTAAATTAATAGACTTTATGTGCTGACGCGATAGCTGTTTTCTCTTACACCACTTTTCTCTCCTTTGCGCTGCTGCAGTGTTACTTTTTTTTCTTAAAACCTGTTCATATTCGCTGTAGCCTATGGCCACATGAAGATGTGGGCTATATTTCGAGATGGTTAAAGTAGGAGGAGCTCTTTTTTGTCACCTGTGGCCATGGTGAATCATTAACGTTGGCTTTTTATCTGGTGAACGTGCTGAACACCGAGTGAACCTACTCAGAGCTGATTTAACAAACTCAAATCTGCTGATCTGGAACCAAAAACTCAGTTTCCTGCCTGACGGTAAATCAACTCAGAGCTCAGGGTTAGACTGAGAGTTTGTTTAACCTTCTTTCAGAAACGGGCCCCAGTGATGAGCAGCTGACGACAAAGAACAGCAGATACAAAAAACATGGCGCTGAAAACATTCGACTGCACAGAGCATAAATTGCATAAAATGGAGATAATAAAAGATATAACTTTATTTGTAAAGCACTTTTTAAAAACAAGGGTTTACAAAGTGCTTTGACACTTGCAGAAGAATATATAACAACAAAGCATAAGAACCCAAACAACAACAAAGCACGACGACAACGAAGCAACCCACGGATGAGACGCGCGACAAACAACAGCAAACAAAAACAAAACAAAAACCCCAACTAACATCAGAACCCAAACATCATCAGAATTCAGGCAGCAAGGGAACCCAGGAGACTTAGTTTGAGAAAAAAAGAGTGGACTGAGGATGAGAGAAGTAAATTATTTCAGATGTGCATATGTGAAAACGGTTACTGTACAGTGAGGGGTCTGCACAAGAGAACCTCCTCATTACCTGAAGAGATCCAAAAGGTTTATTTAAAGTTTAGAAAAAAAGTTCAGAAAAAAAGAATGGCGGACCAATGTCAAAACTCAATAAGGACCAAGGAATATCTTATAACCATTTTGTAGTATGGAATTTAAAAATGTATCCCAAAAGTTGAATAAAAGAAATAGCTTACATTTCTTCTGTAAATGTTTATCATTAGATAGCTAGGTTGTACAAAGGAAAAAATATCCTTTTTTATTTTTCTTGATGTTAGCCCACAATGAGTATTTTAACAAAGGGAGGCATAGTAAGTTAACATTCTTTTCATTTTTGTGCAGAAATATTGTAATAGTTTCATATATTAATGACTAAATGATGTTGTATGATTGATTATATTGTAAATTGAAGAAGTGTTTAACTATAATGCATTTTATTATGTAAGGTGTTGCATACATTTGCCCCCCCTCAACCATAACATTAAAATGAATTAACATTACCCTTCTGACAGTGTCAACAAATGAAAAAGGACTAATACACTAATAAAAGTAGAACTCATGGCAGAGATGTCAACATCTTATAAAGCGCAATGAGAGTATGTGTTTTTGAATAATTCTCATATATATAAAAAGAGTCCTGCCTCCTTGACAGTCTGATTGATATCACATTCCACTTAAGTTGTAATGTGGAAAAAAAAAAGGTTTCCTCTTAAAGGGCTGAAGGCGCTCTCAGTAATCTGCTTTACATTTCACAAAGAGAGATGGAGGATTGAAAATGGCTTCAAGATAAACTGGACTCTTAACTACTTACACAAAGTAGGCATATATTTTTAGACAGACACAAAAACTGACTTATTTTTGCCCTTAAAAGAAGAGCATAAGTTTCCTTCATCATGTGGATGTGATGTGTACATGTGATGTCTGTGAATATAAAATAAAAGAAAGAAAAAGTAACCTGTGTTTAGGGGGAATAAAACGTCATCATCAAAGTCTCACCTGGATCTAGCAGCAGGTCGCTGGTAAACATGTTTTTCACGGCCATGTTGGCGCAAAGCTTGATGCTCTTCAAGTTACTGTAGCGGCAGTCGAGGTAGACAGACAGCGTGTACTGAAGATCCAGCATCAGACAAGTCCACTGCACGGACGAGGGAGCCGGGCCAACTAAACCTGCATATTTCAACAAAAATACTGCCAGAACTGAAGCAAAACATTTCAGAATATTTACATATAAATAAGTAGGTATGGTTGTATAGAATGTGTTTTACCATGTCTTGCTGATTTGGCTGAGCTTTCATAGACTGAATCCTTTGCAGCTCCGCACAGGAAAGGAAACTGAAGCCAGGTGGCTGTGGACTTGAACTCTTTAAACATGTTGGAGAAAGAGATACGGACCACCTGACCCTCCTGTATGTTAAAGCACCGAGAGAGATGGGAAATAAATATATTATTTTTCATTTGGTTATAATTTCAGAGGAAATAAACCTCCAAACACACCATGAAAGAGATATTTACATCCAGTCTAGTTCAGTTCTAAAATGCCTAAGCACATGTACCGGTAAGTCCTGAGCCTAACTATTGTAATTTAGCTAAAAGAAAAAATGATTTGCCAAATAAAGACGAACCTAAAAACATAAATAAAGGGAATAATTGGTTGTTGTTGTTGTCGCATGAGAGCATGTATAGTTCTCGCTCCCACATGGGAATTTTGGTTTTAATTAGATTGAAATGCAGACATTAAAAAAACATTTGTGGATTAGTCCTGTTATTTTAAAACCAACTTCAGTCACAGAAAATAAAATGATGTGGTAAATGACAGATTGTTTAAACACCTCTGCAGAAACATCCAGGTGAACCACAAAGTATTTTCCAGGTGTGGGCCTGAAGAGAAGGTAGATGTAGCGTCCTGTCAGCGCCAGAGACTGGTTGCTGTTTTTTGGTATTAGGATGTAGCTGTTGGCAGGAACCGGACCCCTGATGTGGAACACTGAACACTTCAGTGCCTTGCTCTGAGGACATTCATGGAAAGAGGACAACAATGTAAAGTAGCTATGATCTGAATTGATTATAGTTAGAAATATACTAGATGTAGAATAAAATAGAATAGAATTGTTGTATTGTTCTTAAGTTGGATAGAAAGGAGAGTTTTTTAATAATTATTAGATCACATTCAAGCCTCTAGCTGTGTTTTACATTCAAAAGATAGTCTTTTTAGTTAGTTTTAAAATGTCCCAATTATAGTGTATTAAAGTTACCGTGCATGACGACACATCCCCCTCTTTTGCCGACCTTTTCCAGTCTTCTATCCTGACATGTTTGAATATGTTGACATAAGGATGCTGCCAACCTGCCAAGTCAAAACAGGGTTCATGTATGTTGTTTCAAGTTATGGCGTCCATTTGTCTGTCACTATAGTTGTACAATTCCATTCATCTGCACCTAGCGAGCTTAATTTAACAATTCTAAGTCAATTCTACCTTTAGAGGCCATCGGGAAATCCACCTGTTGTTGTCTCAATCCTGCAAAAAACTTACTGAAGCTCGGAAAGCTGGTGTGCACTACAGAGATTAGCTAACAAACTGACAGCTACTTAAACGAGCAGGAAAGCTCATTCTCCGTTTCCCATAACAAAAAAAACAATAAAACATTAAGTTTCACATTGTCATGAGAGGCGAGTGTATCTCCATTTATCCCAGAGACCGAGTAATAAGTTGACTGTGCTTGTTGTGGTAGTTGTCTCCTTCCCGCTCCAACCTCCGCCGTTGCCAACGACACTTATGACGTCTATGCGCTGCTTTCGTAAGGGCTTCTGGGTAATGACGTTTTCTGACTAAAAGGAAAACTTTTCCAAAAAAAGCATTTTGGGCGGAAATAAAAAGGGCTAACAAACTATCCACCAAAGATATGTTGAAAGAGTACGCTGCATCTATTTCTTGGGCAGATTAACCTAATATTTTGATATTCTCAACCTTGTTTAACCTGTTAACTGTGTTGTGGTTTACTGTAATTTTTCACAACATAAATTACACTGAAAAATAAATTACCAGGCTTGTCTTGTTTTACTCCTTGCATCACATATTAAAAGAAGCCATGTAATCAAATATTTTATTTTTCATACACAATTTGTAAAATGTACTTAAAGACATCTCATGTTTGAAATAATCACAGTCATATATTAACATATTCACAATTTTACAACTGACGTAACAACAATTACTTATTCACAGTTTTAGATATTCAAACAAACCACATATAATCTTCAAATGCACATTAAATGCCAATATGTATTCAGTCGGAATCTATACTGACAACATGTGGGAGTAATTCAACAGGGTCTTGAAGATGAATGACAAAGGACACCTGCATCGCCACAGAGGACTGTCCAGGGTCGTCATGATGCCCATGCTGTTGTGTGCTCTCTCTGTTTACCACCGATGGGCAGTGCAGCAGTGATTCATCAGGCTGTGGGGATGCTGCCTGAACTGGACGACTAAAAATGAGTGAACTGTCAGGAGTGGGTGATCCATCAGGCATTGCCCTCATCGTTGTTGCAGAGGATCTGTTGCGCTCTGGGACTGTGGCGATGGAGAGAGTGTCTACTCGAGAATCAAGCACGGCTAGTCACTGTCCACAACAGACAACTTCAGCCTCTATCCTCCAGCTGCGTAATTTCCTCTTCAGCTCTGTCCTCACCTGCACCCAGATTGGAGGTGAGCAAAGTCAGGAAGTTAGTAACTTTTTGTACCTATTTTGTGCTTAATTCCAATTTAATGCTTTGAATTAATTTAAAAGTAAAGTAAAATCTCTTTCAGAATCCTATTGATCAGGTCATTGGAAATAAAGAGGAAAAACCATACACCTTGACCACCATGGATGACTTGAAATAATAAAGTCTGTTATTTTAATCTAAAGCATCCTTTGATGATCTGTCCAGCTGTCCAATCCCCACCTGACAGTTGTTAAAAACATACCATTAGCAGGCTCATTAACAAGGTTTAATGTGATTTAAGACTCATTTTACACTCATGTATGATCTCTCTGAGGCACCATCATCTATATTGGTAAAGAAAGGAAACGAGAATATAGGGTAAAACAACGCACCTCTTTATTGGCATAGCAGTAGAGCACAGCCACCAGAAAGCCCTGCAGAGAGGGAAGATTTAAGAAAATTGCAGTTTAGTCAAAGCATACTGTACATGTTTTGTAGACGTTTATTATACTGTATGTCTAAACAGTTAGATGGTTTCACAATGTCAGAGTTATCTAAGATAGCGAGGAGTTAAACCTACCTGAAATGAATTGAGAAACAGCGTGAAGAAGACTTTAATGTAGCGCAGAACTCCTGTTGTCTGCTCATCTGTAGCAAAGATGAATATGATCTCATGAATCCCAAACAGAGGGATGAGGGTAAGGGTTGCCTTGGCAAGCCTGACAGGATAAGTTAAAACAGCATTCATTAACATTTATTTTTCTGGCTACATCTTTCGTCCTCCTCCTACCCAAATCATTCACAGTCTCTCTGTCAGAGCCAGGGCCGTGACCTTGGCTTAAAAAAGATAGACGAAGAAGAGTTCAACAAATCCAATTATGAAAATATGCTGGGCAACTTGCCGGAGCTTGTAATCAGGGTATCCACTCTGGTTGCTGGCTCTTAATTTAGAAAGAATGACCTTCAGGATCTTCATGAAAATCAGGAAGTTGATCTGTGGAACACAAAATCGAAGTATTAACTTTTGTATCTGATTAAATCCTGATTCAAAGTTTACTCTTTGCATGCCATCCTTACTAGAGAAGCAAAAAGAATAGGGAAACGAATGATCCACCAGTAGTGCATGTTCTCATTGACAGCCCAACACCTGTGAAGACGAGGCAGATATTACTTTCTCTCCACTTGGATCAATGGGCTACAGGAAGTGAATCAGGGACATGAGAGTACTACAAACACACTTACTCTTTGTTTTCTTTCAATAGCTTCATCACCACCCAGGGAACCACAAACACAATTGGAGTCCCTAAGACAATGACAGTACAGATTGCAAGATTCAGCGCTGTGAGTGCTTTTAAAAACAAGAAGAAGAATTCAATGACAGGTGGATTACATGTTAACATTTCCATTGCATTCTTGAACAAAAGCTACACAATTGTTGTTTGGCATGCTCTTCTTTTAGCTAAGCTTGATTTGACTTCAGATAGTGAAGAGGCATTTTGCAGAGGTGCAGGCGTGTGAGAGCGAGAAGTTTTCTCGGTGACAGCGTGTCTGCTTTTTAAATGTGAGCTGCTTTTTATCTATGCTGTGAGATGCATTTAAGTATAAAAGTTGACAAACCGTCTAACTCACCCCATCCGAGGCAGATGTAAGGTAAATACTTGTTGTTGTCAATGAACACTGAGGCAATAAGCACAGAGTATAAATAAATTGCCTCTCCGAAGAACCAGTAGTGATTGGCCAGGACGCAGTATTGCATCATCACCTGTGCTATCCTGCATCCAATAGCAGCCTGGAGGAAATGGTCATGAGAATATGTGACAAAAAAGGTTTAAGGGTTAATGCATTTCTTTTTGGTAAATCATGAAATCATACTTCAAGGCTTACCTGGTGACTGAGCATTTCTCTCACATCCGTCTGTTTCATGATTTCTCGTCCCCAGTGGCGTTCCAGCATGGTGTCCTTAACAATGACTGACATGGCTCGCAGTATGAGGGACAGGAAGAGGTTAGCATGGATGTAGTTCCTGGTGCAATGGAGTTTCCTGTCAGGGTAAATTAAAATAAATGTTTTGTTTTTGTGCTATTATTGATATCGTTATGAATAAAAAATGTTGCTCTTGGGGCATTGGTGGCGCAGTAGTTAGTGCGCGCATCCCATGTATAGAGGCTATGGTCATCCAAGCGGGTTCGAGTCCAGCCTGTGGCTCCTTTCCCGCATGTCATTCCCTACTCTCTCTCTCCCTGATTTCCAGCTCTATCCACTGTCCTATATCTTTATATATAAAGCCCAAAAATAAATCTTTCAAAAACAATTTTTTGCTCTTTTTTAAATTTGTTTTCATTGATTTTTCTTCATTTGCCAAAAAAAAACTCAGTTTTTTGGTACCATGTGCAATAATACATGACTTATCTTATATAACCTTTAAAGTCGTTAACTTGCATTAATCTATGTTTTGCCTCATTTTAGAAAAAACTGTTAATAGAGTGGGAAATTGTGAGAGAGAGAGAGAGAGTGGGGAATGACATGCGGGAAAGGAGCTGTATGTCGGACTTGAACCCGGACCACCCGCTTGTAGGACTATAGCCTCCGTTCACGGGGCGCAACCCAAACGCAATCGCACATGTTGTCTATTTCTATTGTTTGCTGCCTACATCAATTCACTTTCTATGTTACATCAATGTGCACACTGAAATTGAGATATCTTTCATACCAATACATCATTGCCCTATGTGACAGAATCTGCACAAATCTGGTGCATCTGTTTAGTAATAAAATGAATGTTGAAGAGTCTAATGACAACTAAAGCCATTTCTCTCAGCACCTGATAGAAAGCTTACCTAAAGCTCAGCAGAATGATGAGAGCAGTGACAAGTGTGAAGAGGGAGAGGGAGTAGCCAACCGTGTACAGCATCCTGAAGCTCACCATCAGTTGCTTGAACCATAGCTGTGAAGACAAACTCACAACACTCACTTTTTGGAAGTCAGAGCTCATAAATCATGTCCTTAATATCAGGTTCATGACTCTAATCTGAACTGGAGCTAAGGCAGTGTGTTCTTGGGGGAGTAGTTTTGTGCAAATAATTGTATACAGACTGATTGTGCACTGAAAGTCTTTGCACAGGGTAATGTTCCTTCTGCAAAAATCAGGGGCCATTTGGTACTTTTCACAGCATAAGGGCTGTGAGTTTAAAGCTTGAATGAAAGATGTGACTGTTGCATGGAATATTTTGTTCAGTGAGCTGCAAGTCATAAAGCCATCAGGCCATTTCTTTGTGCACACAATGACATGCTACATGAAACCTTAAATGTCATTTCCTGATGTCAAATGTTGATAGCGCCCAAATGATGGAGGGTTGCCCTACACTTCAGGGAACAAAGGGCTGCACAGCACAGGCCAATGACATGACATTTGACACAGGAAAAGGCTGTCAACTGTATCAAGCCTTGTCATGTGAACCAACTTGCTCTTTTCACTGAAAGTAGCAGAAGGTAGTCCGTCCTAACATTATACCAACAGCTTGTATCTGTGGCTCTTACTAACTACAAGCCAGCAATCCTCCATCTTAATAACTATTTTCTTGCTTGCAGCCCATGGACTCTGTAACAACCCTTTCTTTTTCTTTTCTTGTCTTTTATTTATTTATATTATCTGTAAATGAAACTTAAGTCTGCTTTTGAGTCTTCTCCTTGGTGATACAAAACTTGATAATATGCATCTCAATAGAATTCCCCCCCCCCATATTTTGTGTCACTCAGCCCCTTGCCTGCTTACAGTTAGCTCTGTCTGTCTTAACAAACATAGTAGCTAACAGTTTAACTTGGCAGGCTGGGCGTTATCAGAGTTATGTGAGGCTGTGAGAGTTAAAAGAGGATATTCAATTTTCCTTGCCATCTAGCTTAATATGATCTATTTACGAATATTGACCCATAATTGAATATTTGATGCTTGCAGCTAAGTGTTACGGCTGTATGTTTCCCTGTGCTGTGTGTTCCTTCTCCACTTCCTGTTGTCTCCAGCCCAGGTGAAGCCACTAATTGAACGACGAGGCACACCTGGCATCAGTGCTGGCTGCAGGAAAGGGGGCATTTTGGAGTTGGGATTGCTGTGCCTCTCAGTCAGGGATTGTCTGTTGTGTTTTGTAAAATTACTTTCTAGTTTGATCTTTGTTATCATTAAGTTTAAGTAATTGTAATAAATCCGTTGGTTTTGATTTTTGTTAAGGTGTTTACTGTCTTTTAATGGGTCAATGTGTGGTTTGTTGTTAGCCCCATAGGATGTAACATAAGTCATAATGAAATTACTGTCCAGCTTTTTGGTATCATAGGAGAAATATTGCAACACATAACTTTTTGGAAGTCAAAGGTTTTGTTGGCTTTTCCATCTGTTGATCGTTTGTTGTTGTTGTTGTTTTTTAATTCAATATCACCTCTGATGGAAGAGACTACTGAGTCATGTTGAAGTGCAGCTGAAAACAAAAATCCATCACAAGATCTGCTTTGTCCTCTCTCAAAATCTCCAGACTCTGACAATCACGCTCAGACTCTGTGTAGCTGAAACCCTCATCTATGATACACACTTGTTGTTTGCTGTCCCCCCTACCCCACCACTCCACAACCCCCCCAAAAAAGTTCAATTTCACTTATTCTCCAACAACACTCACAGAAGGTTGACTTCAAAAACTTGGAGTCACTAACATGACAACAAAAAGCTTGCCTCAACAGCCTTATTCACTTGTTAAAGTTCCATGGAAATAGTTTTTTTTTGTGGTTCATGTGGTGCTTGAATTGTTTCTGTATCTAAATATGTCTGTAGTGTTTTTGATGTGCTACACATATATTTCTCAACCAAGGAAATTATGTGTATGTATATGCAATATTGCTATCATTGTCTTAAAAGGTCTTGTGTCATTTGTCTCTTTAGTTGCAGTTTATTTTTCACTCTGACTCCATTTGCAGAATTTCCCAGATTGAATTCTCTTTAGAGAGAGCAGTCTCTCTTTAGCTCGTTATTCCGCTTACAGTCTCACAACCTCCAGCTTGTTAAAATACTGCTGCTGGGATCAACACAGCAGCTCCCAATTTGTGCACATTTTCCCGTTTTGGCCTTTCTGTATTGGCGTTACTGTAAAATTATGTCAATTATGTCTCACACAAGCTGTTACAGGCTTATACTCAGAAAAAATAGTACGAAACAGGGGCGCTGGTGGCGCAGTGGTTAGTGCGCGCGCCCCATGCATGGAGGCTGTAGTCTCAAGCCGGTGGCCCGGGCTCACATCCCACCTGTGGCTTCCTTCCCGCATGTCAATCCCCACTCTCTCTCCCTGATTTCCAACTCTATCCACTGTCCTATCTCTCCATTAAAGGCACAAAAAGCCCAAAATAAATCTTTAAAAAAATAAAAATAGTATGAAACAAAGTGTGGAGGAATTTCAGACAATGATAGACCTCCAGAATACTACACTGACAACATTTTACACACCACTAATGTTTGACTGTTCCTAGGTTATGCATCAACCTGCAGACATATTCTTGTCAGGATTGCCAATTTAACACACTCAGCATCCCCTTATAATATCAGCTTAATCAAATCGATCCTGTGAGGAACCTTCATGTTGTGTTGATTTGAGCGCCCCTTGTGGACAAACTAGAAAATGTATGTCTTTCCTGGCCTTATCCTGTGCATTTGTGAGCATTATTTTTCTTCACCAAAATAATCATCCTTCTTTATTTCAAATGTTTAACAACAATACATTGGATCTTTTGTGTGTCAACATTTTAAAAAGGCTGCATCTGCAGCTGAAAATCATGTGGCAATGTTTCACCCATAAATAAAAGACAATATAGAAATAATCAATCTTCTCGTGGATGGTCTTGTTTTGTAAGTTTGAATGGAGGTATCAATGTTAATTTCTGTCTGTTTTAATACCAGCTAAAACTAATTTAGGAGCTTTAAACCTAACCCTTTAATGGCATTATATAGGGTGAACAGCTACCTGGCAACTGTCAGCTCAATTTTGTGTTCCTTTTCTTGCTCCCTCTCTAGATACCGGTACCTGAGGGAGGTATGTGGCTCCTGAGCAGCTGAAACCCAAACTGTGTCCACCAGCCAGTCACTTATTCTTTACTCTGCTTGGTGACGGACAGGCAGTGACAAAAACTATTCATTTGAAGGGCTTTAAACCAAAACATTAAGCTGAAAGTGACAAAAAGCTCCATAGACCTGATGAATACACTGTGTTGGGTCAATGTTTTCATCACACATTGAACAGTCATCTGATCTATGTTGATACAGAATTATGATTACAGCATTTTCTTTAAAGAACTCTTTCAAATTTCCAAATTCAATTTGACACTTCTTTGTTTAATGAATTGACTCTGCATTTTTTGCTCTTAGAACTTTATTCATTAATTTGTTTCATATTTCTGCAAAACACATTTTTGAAGTGTGAAAATAATGTCAATAAATTATGAAAATGACATGAATCACACATCGTTAACCAAAGATGGATTCCTGTTGCTACGGCAATTACTGCTTCCAAGATGAGTCATGTTTTCTGGACTGTCGATTAACAACATCTGTCAGCTTTTTACCCAGTTTGTGTCCATCAGATGTCTAGAGGCTAATTTTTCAAACCTGCAGTCTGTAAATAAAATGTTTGCCGTCTTGAGAGCAATACATGTTTTAGTTACAACATGCAAATCCCATCCTTTCTTTGTGTAGCTTTTCCAGAGATAAACAAATGCTGCTAATTGGCCTGCAAATTAAATGTTTGCATAATGAGCTCAGCCTGTAAAGAAATAAAGAATGCTCGAGCAGTGCAGTGAAGAAACCATCCTCCTGAATAGAAAATAAACATCAAGTGAGAAACAAGAAGTGGTAATGACGGTAACAAAATAACCACCAAGCTGGAGACAGTGTGAAAGCCATACCTCCTGAGAAGTGACCTCTTTTTCCTCCTCACACTGGGTCATGTCTCTCCATACCTGCCCGCTGCTGTCTCTCTCCCAAATGCCGTCAGATCCACACCGCCGTCTGACCACACCCTGAGACACTTAAGAAAGGAGAGACAGTGAGTGCTTCAGGCATTACGCACTGATTGTTAATTAGGTTAATGGCCTCTACAGACAAGCATTCCTGAATTATATAGACAACAAAAATGATGTCTAACTTCTTAGATTGATATCAAAAGATTTATACCACTCTCATATCTGTATGGTCAATTTAAACTTGTGCAAGTTAACTTTGTATCTCAGCTTGTCACAAGCGCTGAAAGTACACGGTGACAGCTAGCTTCATATGCTTAATTATCTTTATTGATTAATTAGGCAGGTTACAAATAGATTGTGAGCTTTTTCTGCAGTGCTTAAGCAGTACTGTGCAATTATGGCTTTTACAGTGTCAAGAGAAGCGTGCGCTATTGGTTGAGTTCAGGCACTGAACACATGGCAAGCTATTCTAGCTGACAGTTACAGCCAGTGTAGCTTGTAATGTAGCTAGTATAACTTGTTATTGAACAGATACTTGTAAAAAATGTGAACGTTCTACCCTAGGCTGAATAGTTTGGTCAACTATTTCACTCTGAAAAGGCCCCGGGATCGAGGATTGTTTTTCAATGATAGGCTAATTAGAAGTGTGTTTACCTTTGTTATACCAGGGCAGGTAGAAAGGACATGAGATGTTCACCACTGAGCCGGGAGGAGTATCTGACCAGCAGGCGTATCTGTCAAACGTCCTGTTACAGAACAAGCCCCCTAAAAAGACAAACAAGTACAAAACTGAAGAAACATCTTTCCTTCAAAAAAGCAACAAAAAACATCTTTTTACTCTCAATTAAAGGAATAAAGGAGCATTTATCTTAATCTGTACTTCATTATTTCCACCTCGTGCCATTTCCCCAGTGCAGAATGATTGAATATTACTGTAAATACAGGTGTCTACAGTTTCCACTTACCTTGAAGGAGCGGCTCATTTTCTATCATTTTGAAGCACTCTTCTTTATACTGGATCCACTTCCGATAAGTCTCCTCCAACACTTTCCCACTGGCCAACTCAAACTGTGGGTACATTCCCAAAAAAACGTTACTTAAACATAACAAATGTAATTTAAGGTTTCTGTAAAATTCAAACTCTTCTGTCGAACTCTGGACTCAAATAAAAGGAATTATGAATAAAACTAACCGTTGGCATTTTAAGAATCAGCAGGCAGATTATAACCATTATGTCTTTTGCCCTGTCCATCGCTGCAGACTTGTTCCTCCTGAAAGAATGAGAGGAAGAAGAATAGCAGAATAGTTCTGACTGCTGGCAGAGAAGGTCATTATCTTATTGCCTGCATGTTCTTCTCTCAATTCATCCACCTTGGCTATGTAATGGCAAAGCTTTTAGAGAATTTCAAAATGGATGTTTGGACATGTAAAGGCTGCAGTTGTAGATTTTTTCAACACAAATTGGTGCCTGCTGCCCTGCTATCAATCAAATTAAGGTCATATGAGGTACTACAACTGCCGAGCTTCTTAAACCAAGGTCCCTGAAATGAATGGTCCAGATATTTTCCAGACAAAGTTTTCAGCAGGTTTAACTGAACTTTGGAAAGTGTAACCCCTTGCTTTCACAAAGTTCTCTAAAAGTATGCAACTTGATGAAGTGCTCACTTCCTCATCATGTCTGACTTTGTTGTCATTGTTGTAATGTTTTTCCTGTCTCATATTGTTTCCAAAGCTAAGAAACCTTTAGTTTTTTTTTTTAATTTTGACTGCAGGTACATCTGAAATAAACAAGTTTACTTTATGCGGTATCCAAATATGTTTGTACAGTATGCACTGTGTATTGAGTATTGTTACTGTTAGTTCTCTGTTAGTCTTCAGTGTTTACTCTTTTATTTTGTAGTTCTTTCATCAGTGTTTCCTGTCTAGAGTTACCCCCTGCACTTCTGTGTTCTTCCTCCATTTTGATCGCCCTCATCAGTTTCATCTGTGACTTGTCTGTCACCTGGTTTTGATTACCCCTAGCCCATTTAGTGTGTTCCTTACCTGCTGTGTCATCAAATGATTTACCTAAACATGCCCATTGTAGATAGATAGATAGATGGATAGATAGATAGATAGATATAGATAGATACTTTATTGATCCCGAGGGAAATTTAAATCGTATTATAAGTGGATTTTATTTTAGGTTCTTGTGGGGTTTTTCCCCTTGATGGAATCTGTCATTTTTTCCTTTGGATTTTGAGTTTTCTTAATGGACTCTAGTCAGTATTTTTTCCTTTTGGCTCCTCGGTTTTTATTTCCCTGTTAATTGGATTTTGAGTCAGATGTTGTTTGATTTGTATTTTTAGACATAAATAATTAGCTTTTATTTTTTACTTTTTGTCTTGTGTTTAAGTCGATACCTTTCTTTTAGTCTGCAATCAGTTTCTCTTCCTTTGTTTCAACCTTTAACGTGACACTTTGCACAAACATCATTCTGTTCGGTGAAGCTCAAGCCTTCACATACAGTACAGGATGTACTTAGTCCAATGACGTGGTTAATCAAGCATGCTGGTCTTGCTGCCCACTTCAATTACGAGTAATGTCCAATTCTTCCTATCTAATTTTCATTTTTTTTAGAGTGGACCTTTATGAGAAACAACAGAAATATAAACGTATAGCACTGATTGAGGTAATTATTTGCAGTTCTGTGCCATCATTTGGCTGAAAGGCTTAGCTGTTGCTGTGCAGTATACACTTTTAAAGCCTTACACATTCAAAATAAGTTCCAAACCCAATCTCAGACCTCAAGAACACAACTTAACGTTTGGTTGTGTTATTTTAAACAACCATTAGTTCTGACCAGGCAAGAGCTATTCCATTAGTGCTTATATAGAGTACAACATCAGCAACAACAGTCCTGACTCCTGTCCCAATCAGGTGTAAAACTGTAGATGTGTAGGTGAAGCAAAATAATACAAAAGTTGGTCTTATGTTTCTTTTTGCTGTTAACGTTTTGCCACTTCTAGAACTGCTGTATATGAAAGCAATATCATATACCGTTGTTTTACTGAATACTAGCATGAATACTAGCATGCAGTGATTACCTTTGGCACAAAGCCTGAAGCATGGTGCCTAAAACCAAATCGCAGCCGTGCAGTACAACATCAGTGTAAAAATTGCTTAATTCTCTTAATCCAATACACTTTTAGGAGGAAGTATATTTCACATAGTACTTGGAATAACGTTTTTTTTCAAAGTATTAACTATTTTCTAGCTGTGCAGTGTGGACTAAAGTGGGGCTGAATGACTCTCCACAGGCCCTGCTGTTATAGTGCAACCCAATTAAGTGCAAAGCAAGTGTAGAGGGACAATGCCCCCTCCTTTGGGGGGGTCTAACCTGAGGCTCAGTAAAGCCTGCTGCCGCTGTGTATCAACAGGCTGCCAAAACACAGATTAGATTTTTCTCTCCTGGTAGGTGGCATTTGACATTTTTTGCCTTTGGCAGCTCAAGGAATGAGACCCCAACGAGTTTTGTTTCCAATCAGTCCAGGATCTCCTTCCATGTGGCTTTAAGAGTTCTGTTTGTCAGGAAATACAGAACATTTTGGTGGGCCTTACACGGCTTAATTTAACACTCTGATCTATTAACCTTTAATTTCACTGTAACACTCAATTACCTATCATGTTTATCCTCAACTGGGTTATCCCCAACTACTAAATAAATGGAAGCAGCAGCTGTAACACAAGTCACTGATATTAAAGGTGTATTTCAGTATGATCAGTATAAGTTGTCTTCTGAAAACTGGCAGTTTTTACTACACCTGGAGGGAAGGATATTCTTTTACTCCAGCATAATGTATTTTTAGACTACATTTTTTTTTTAATTAAAGGCTCTTTAAAATCTAACAGAGTTAAGCATCTAAAATTTCAGTGAAATTACAACAACCCCTTATACCAGTTATAATCTCACAGCAGCATGTACATGAAACAACCTCATAAATAATTATTGTAGTTTTTCAGTTACAGGGTTCTCTACACATTTTAAAACTGTTGAATAAAAACGGCTAAGTGCATTGCATGAACTGCACAAAGTATAACCTGCATTACAGTACCCGTTAAAAGAAAGTGATAAACATATTACTTTTCCAATCGATCTTGTAATAAGATATCATATTCAATCCCTACATCATGGCAATTTCAGAAAAATCCAAGTAAAAAAAAACGATGTTATAAATGTTCTCATTGATATCCTGAGGGAAATCTATACTAAGATGCATGTATAAAATAACGAACATGATTCATCAAGTCTGTTTGTCTTTCTTTGGCTACAATATGTTGACATTCTCTTCAATTGCGTAATGCGTTTTTGGATAACAAGCCCTTCATTTTGGGGCATCCTCTGCGTAAAAGTGTTGAAGTAGGCTAACACTGCATATAAAAGGATAGATACATAAAGATATTACTCACAGATAAATAGTCCTTCTGCTCGCTGAGACGCGCTGTGGAGACGCTCCGTCCTGACCGTAACTGCACCTGAACCTGCACACAGCAGTTTGTCCATGATGCTCAGCCCATTGATGTTCATCATTTATATCCAATGCTGGGTTAACGTTTAACAAGAAATTCCTCCTTACAGTCATTCACTCTTAGCCCAAACTGCCATCTTAAACTATTGGTAATTGGAGCCTATGGATTGAGCGATAAATAACGGGAGATATGTTACGTCGTTTCTCACTTTCTTCTCTTCATCCAGGCACAGGAATTATGGGCTACAGCCGCTCCTAAAGCATCAGAGGGCAGCATTACATTTACGCTGCATACAGTTAGGATAATGGATGCGATCCGTGTGATAATTAAATCTCAGTCTCGTTTGAAGTGGATTTAGGGTTCCTGTGTAGAAATTATTTTGGAACAGAGAAAATAACACGACTTTCAAAAAGGTGTAATTCAGAGGAAGACCTTTAAAACGCAAAGCAGTCAAGTACTGGAGGAGCTTAAAAAGAGGTAAAGCGCACAGTGTGATATGCACCGCAACATTCACACACTTAAGTAACTTGAGGAAATCAAAGCCTATTAAAATGCGATGATTGGAACCGCTGCAAGAAAGTGAGACAATACTTTTGGGACAAATATGTGGACTTTTTCAAGTTTTAAAATGATTAATTTCCCACTTATTCAAATTTTGAATTATCAGGCTAATTGATTAATCAATGCATTGTTTAGTTTTTTTGTTCAGGTCTACGTCATGACGTTCCAGTGACGCAAGAAGTGATGACCGTTAAACTTTTCCGCGGGTTTTTCAACTGAGGTGGATTTTGGTTGAGAGCATTGAGAGTAGCATTGGTTGAGAGTAGCTGGCATGTTTCGAAAACATGAACAAACGTTATCTCTTGTAGATTCTGCTGGAGGAGTTTCAACTTTACTCATCTTCTACTCTAATCCCACGGTCAACTTCTTCTCCTGCTCATTCTTGTCATAAGTGCCACCACCAGTCATTAGGTGTTTATGCGGGTCAAATTGGCAAGGAAATCTGACTTGTTGAAAAGCATGTGTGAATCAGACAAACAACAAACGGTACACGTGCATTTATGAACTGTATCTTCAGTTTTTGGAGCGAACAGGGTGCTTGTTAACCGAGTTTGTCTAAATATATATATATTTAGACAAATATATATATTCGCGGATCACATGCAGCCCGAACAGTGAACCTACCGGGTTACAGGTCAAAGGTGATCCACTTCACCACTAGCTCTATGTCACAATATTGTTTTTTCCTTTGTGCTTTTGTCTTGACCAGACCTCGTATCTCAAGAGATTATCGGTCAAATAAAAAGTTTTATAAAAAAAGTTTAGGATAGAAGATGAATTTAATGTTAAGTATTGTAATGAAAGCTTTTCATAGTAAACATGTTAAAACATTTAAATGTGGTACATAAATAACCATTATTGCTGTTATGATTGCTGTATTCTGATTAGCCCAATAATTATGGGAAGACAGGAATTCGTTTAATTTTAATTTTATTGAAGCTCATTTAGCACTGCAGACTCCCTGAATCAGACTAAGCAACTCCATACATTTGCCAAATCGCTGTTCCTAAATGGTTTTGCAATTAAGCAATGTTAATATGTTAGGTTTGAAATTAATCCAAATTTAAATGATTGGCTCAGCAGACACTTCACACTTTGTCTTCTGCATCACAGAATACTAAATGAGAAATCCCCTTGAACGTCCTTTGGAGGAAATCAAATGGCATGGCATTACAAATTATAGACTTCACAGAAAAATTAAGAGGAATGACCAATAGTTTATTGCTGTCTGTGCATTTGCCTGTACTGCCATGGTTGTATTAAACATAGAACCAACTTCCATCAAGTCAGGCAGGGTGACTGTTTGGAAAGATTGACAGTTTAATCCCTGGCTCTTCCAGTGTGCGTGTCAAAGTGTTAGTAACAAGTAACTGAACAATCCCTATTGGGAAGCAGTTGATTGTATAAAAGTGTGTGTGAACACAGGTGAATATTGTGATGTTGGAACACAAGTGACTCTTTAAGCAGTTAACCATTAATGATTGTCTCTTTTAATTACAGTCAATCAATGTGATATCTGAGTCTGAATGCTGGCAGCTTTCTTTGTTTCTGACATGTCGAAAGGCTGTCATAACGGATATATGCTCTATTATGTGTGATGTCATGAATGGGGTAAAAACTCCCTTCATATTGGATTAGTCATATTGGAGTTAAATAACAACTGCACCACTTTCATGTCTGTATGCTTAATATGAAGCTGCAGCCAGGAGGCAATTAGCTGAGCTGGAAACAGAAAAGCAGCAGGTGGGCTCTGATAGACTCTGTCTTACAGCACCTCGCCAAACTCCGGTTTAAAAAAAAAAAAAAAAATTGACTCCTGCGGAGAGATAAGACAGCAAAACCAAGAGAGCAGTATCTATCAGAGAAAGAGAGAGAGAAGGTCCACTATCCGTACACCCCTCTTGTAAATGCAATGAACTGGTCCTGTCTTTGTGCTAAGCTATGCTCACTAGTCGCAGGCTGTGGCTACACTTTTATAATAGAGACTAGCTCACAGGGGTGCAAACTTGTCACCTTTTGGTAAAATTCGCCGCTTTGGATCCCAAATAGGTCATTTGTGTGATTCATTTAGATCTGCAATAAAAATATTTGGAGGAGGGGGGTGGGGGATAAATCTGCAATGCGAGCTGTCATGAATCTAAAACCTTATTCATGCTTCTTGCGGCTGGCGAGCATGGTCCCTGTGAATGTCGAGTCGTTTCATACTGACTGCGGTCAGAGCGCTCAGAACTCAACACAGCCTGAAAAAAGTAAGCTACTTCCAGGTCCTGTAGCCAATCATTGCGAATCGGTCGCCGTGAACCCGTCCGCGTTGTTTCAAAATCTTGGAGGTGCGCGGCTGGCTGGGTGCTCAGACCCTCCACAGACCCTCCTCTCACTGGCCGCGATTGCGCAATATCGCCGCGTGATAAATTCTGCAAATTCATCCCATTTATAAAAAGGGACTCAAGGTTGGGAGCACAGGATTTTCATGTTTCCCTGAAGCTAAATCAAAAAGTTAGAACAGAACATAGATATCGACCATAGATATCGACAAGCAATTGTGCTTTTCTTATTGTTTGCACTGCTTCTTTAGATGGTCTGAATGCTAAAATGGTCTTTAAATTAACATTTTAAAGCTGATATTTAAAAAAAAAATCTTCCCAGGGTGGCAGTAGCTCAGTTTGTAGGGACTTGGGTTGGGAACCAGAGGGTTGCCGGTTCAAATCCTGGTGCGGTCCAAGTATGGAAGTTTGTCTGGTAGCTGGAGAGGTGCCAGATCACCTCCTGAGCACTGCTGAGGTGCCCTTGAGCAAGGCACCAACCCCCCCCCCCACCACCAGCTCAGGGGCGCCCACTGTGGGCTGCTCCTTCACTCTGACATCCCTTAGTGCATGTCCATAGGATTCTGTTTGTGTGCATGTGTGTGTTGCATGACTACAGAGTGTAAAAACTGAGATTTTTCCCTTGCGGGGATCAATAAAGTAAATCTTAATGCCCCCGGACCCCCCTAGGAGGTTTGGATACATGTCACCTTTTTCATCCCAGATGAGTTTGCACCCTTGAGCTCAGATTGAAGACTAAAGAACAAATCTCTCAGGATAAAAACATAGCATCCCTTACAGTACACACGTTGTCATTGCATGAGTTAAGTGTTCATGCATTTGGAGATGCTGGGTAATTCAGCGTCAGAAAAGGGCAGAATTAAGGCCAACGTGATTTACAGTTGAGCATTGAGGCAGCCAAGCTAATTCTCTGTTTTTTAATTAGTCATCACTAGTCAAATCAGAGAAGCTTTTAATGGTCTGTGTTTGATCCTAAGTGCAACACCCTCAAACTCTGGATATGCTGGAAATGTATTTCACTTGGATCTTCAATACAGAGTTACTGAGAAAATATAAGTATAAGTATAAGTATATAAGTTCAGGTCAATTTAAAGACCAAAGCTGAAAAGTCTCTGTAAGGATCCAGGGGCTCGAGCTGAGTGGACTGAACCTGGGCACAGAAGAGAGCCAGGAGATCTCACCCTGATAGATGGACACTGACAAATGCAGAGGCAGATCTCGAGATCAGAGACAAAAGAATCTTGCATTTCCAGGTGAAGTGACAAAGTCTGGTGTTCAGATGCTGATGGTGTCGGTAATGGCTGATCAAACCAAGGATGAGTGTGGGAAAGTCTTGCATGAAGGCAAAGATTGATCTGGTAAATTCCTGGAGGATGAGAGAAATTTAAGTATTGTATTGATTGCAGATAATCTGTAAATGCAAGTTGTGTGCTGTACTGAGTTGCTTGAGCATTACCGGTGGGGAAAATGGAGCAGGAGTGAGGTGACAGGAAAAATACTGAGATCAAAAGAGCAGAATTGTGACAATGCTATGAAATGAATTTGAAACCAGCAGTAAAAGTGTGACAGTTGGTCAGGAATTTGGTATATTGATGCATGCCTAAGGGCTGAAAATTGTGATGGCAGCTACTTTAGTCACTATTTGGTAGATTTGTTTTTTTAAGGGGTTTTTAAGGCTGACATGTTGTAGGTAAACGAGTGTTATGCAGTGAATGTAGAAAAAACATATTCAGATGAAACCATCATTGCCTCTAGACCACAACAAAGTAGATAGTGATCAAAGGATGTTTTCCTCCTCAAGGTTTGTTGACTGTGCTCGAGAAATCATTTTCTTGCCTCCATCTCTGGGGATTAATGAAGCCGAGGAGGACCTGAGCACAATTTATCTGCAGGTGTTTTTGTATACTCCATTCTGGTTTTGATTTGATTCTCTCATCCCGGTATTTGACATCAGTGGGATGAATGAGAAAGGACCTTCAAGAAAAAAATGGCAGGACTGAAAAGATCCTAGATTCAAGATCAAGATTTTTATTTGTCACATGCTCATACAGATTTGCAGTGAAATGGAAGTGAAAGGACTGTTCCGCAAGGCCATGCAATAAACACTCAAATTACTAATACACATATATACAGTAAAATAGAATATAATGTAAAAAATAAAAAAATAATTATTTGAATGTTCAAAATATAAAATATAGAGTAATGTAAACAGTGTAAAGTTTCAGTGTGTAAAGTGTCCAGGGTGTCCAGGGTCCAGTAAAATAGAATACAAGGTAAAAAATTAAAAAATAAATATTTGAATGTACAAAATATAAAATATAGAATAATGTAAACAGTAATGTGCAGATTGGGATGTGTGGTGTGTGTGCATCATGTAGTCACAGTTCTGTTTTGT